ATTTTACTGTAATCCTGTTTTTAAGAATATCATAGATTATACGACTGTAATTCAGATTAAATGTTTCCGTTCAAATAAATCAGTCCCACATTTTCATTTGGTGCAGCTTATTATTTCTTATGTCACCGATAGGTAATTAATTAGGCATAGTATAGTAATTGAAATTTGTAATTGTTTACGCATTACCTTATAGTATTACAGTGTTATAAAATCGAATAAATGATTTTTTAATTCTTAAACGCGCACAACCCCAAAAACACAAATTCCGATAATAGCATATACGTATAGGTATTTTCAATGAGCTTCCATAGAAATATTTTTTAATTATTTTACAAAGATGTATAAATTAATAAAACAAATTGTATTATGTTAAATTGTATATTATCATTATATAATTATTGTATATTTATATAGATAATGTATAATACCTATCAACAACTTATAATTAATATTATATCGAACCACTTATCACATCTTGCTAATAATTAACTATTTAACATATTCACTTCTTTTCTTTTAAAGGTATTTATTTTTTTCCTGTTTAAACCAACAGCAGATGAAAATGTATTTATATAGAATATTTTATTTACACACATAATTTTATCACATGAATATATAATAGGTCCCTCTCAGTATGTAGTAGATAATGATTAAGTGTTTTCAGTGGAAGGTATATATATCCTCGTTCACCATCACTTCCGTGTTTTTATACAAAGTGATTCGCCAATCATTCTTATCTAAGTTGTTCCATTCAATACGGACTTATTCAAATTCTGATTTTTGTAAATTTTAAGTACCTATATTTAAAAACCATATTTTCAACATCTTATTTATAAATGTTGGTGAATATAAAACGAAATTAATKCACYAAGTTTCTGAGTTATTAATTTACTATAGTTAAAATAGATTCTAACGAATACAGGAGAGAGATAATGTGTTTGATGTAAAGATAATATGATTGCTTTTGTAATGTAGCGGGGGATGACGAGTTGAGTACATATACATAGGATATTCACACACGTATTCAAGGGAGAAATCAGTTTCTTTTGAATACATTTTAACCGTAACTCGGGAGCACAAATGGTATTTAGGATATTAGTATTGTTATAGTACAGCGGTTCCCAAACCTTTTTGAGACTATTACCCATAAGTCAGGTTAGATATTAACAAATACCCCCCGACCAAAAAAAAAATATCGAGAAAAAAAAACAAAATATATATTATTATTACAATTTCATTTACAGTCATAATACACATGTGTAAATGGATAATAAGTACTTAAAATACAAATAAATAGTTTAACTTTTACCCCCCAAAAAAATGTGTTTTTTCCCCTTAGGGGGTAATTACCCCCAGGCCGAGAACTGCTGTTATAGTAGTTGGTTTATACTATTACTATTATTAGTATGTTTATGTTAAAACATCCGAGTAAAGTTTAAAAATCTTAACAATGTGTTATAAGTGTGAATAGGAAAAATGTATTGACATTAAAATTAATATATTCACATCAAATATTTTTTTTTAATGAACTAAATCGAAATGAACTTTTAAAAAGCCGAACTTCATTGGTATTGTTGTTAAAATTAGTTTCAAAAATATCATTGTTAGCAAATATTCAATTTATGACACATTAGAATAAAATTTAAGTAAAATATATACTTTTAATCTGATTTACAATCGGGAATCGGCTGAGGTAACGCAGATGTTGGATGGGTATTGACAACAATTTGATAGAAATTTTCAAATATTATATACATATAGTAATATTATACGCCTTAAATAATTGTAGTTTTATTTTTGTTCTTTTAAGAAAACCTATGGAAACTGATTTTATTTGATRACACGTTTTGTATTTATAATATAGTCGTATCCATAACAATAGTAGTAGTATATAGTATAATGTATATCAATAGGTATTTATACACGCATAGTTACGTTATAATTTTGGGTAGGGATTGGACTTTAACCGGAAATAGTGGTAAACGAAGACAGCTAAGTAGCGGATATTGAATTACCAGTCAAGGGTGACTTCATAGTAGGGTGATTCGCATACAACAGCTCCGTGTATATGCGGCTTATATGACATTAAAGTCTTGAGGTTGCCTATATGGGTCCCCTTACACTAAGACAATCGATTCATTCCAATAAAAACAATAATATTCTAATATCATTAACACACCACCGAATATATTACGTATTTATTTCTAATACACATAGTCTGAAACTATAAATATAATATTACATGTTTTAATTTAATTTCAAGGCGTAAATTATATTTAAAATTATATTTTTTCATTTTAGAATCAAATGATTATATTTTTTTTT